CACATAATTTACATTTTCTATTTTCCTAACTGGGAAAGTTTATTTGTAGGGTGATTTTTCAGGTTTCAAAACTATGTACTCTCCTTCTGAAAGCTGTTAGAACAGCACTTGGTTCTCAGGGTTGGGATGTCCTTGTTCCAGGAGTGGCTTCCGGAACGTTGGTTCAGGTACCTCAATAACTTGAGTGACTGCATCTTATTATAAGGATAGTTTTGTTTGCACTTTGTCTTTCTCATTTCATGGCTAACTTCTGAATCCATAAACACAATGTGTCACTGTCACTGAGCCCGTACATTAAGAAGCAGATGTAGTAATGTTTTTGTTGTTGAAAATAAGGTAGTGAGATGAGACAGTGTCTATATTATTGTCCTAATTGCAACTATTCCAGTTCAAATTTAGCTTCCATCTGAAAATTTTTTTACTGGGTGTTTAAAATCTTTTATCTAATTTTAAAAATTGAGAAGTATAGAACAGTGATGTCCAGTTTTTTTTTTTGAAAAATGCTGGATTAAAGCTTTCTGATAACTTTTCATTGAGCACCCCTAAATTCATCTACACAATAGGGCACAAGAATCAGTAAAAGCCAGCCTCATTGAGGTGCCAAGTCTCCTAGTTATAAAACAGACTAATTAGAGGGCTCCAAAATGTACAAACTAAAAGAAAAGGGTGATGACCCACAACTTCACATTAATACTTGGCAAATATTTTTAACAAAAAGAAAATATCTTAAGTAAAATTGTAATGTGCTTGTCTAGAACAACAATATTATCCAAAATTGATAAGTACAAAGGAAGCTTATTACTAAACATAATCAGTACAAAGGCTTATTCATCCTCCTGGCTAAGCAACCTGGGAAGCTTGTTGGTGACAACAACATCCAGTTGAGCTGCTCTTTCAACAATCTCTTTCTTCTTCCTTGTGGAAACATCATGGGCTATCTCAGCAGAGTATGTCCTGTTGTGGATCATCAACAGTTCAAGCTCTTTGATGTTGTGCACAACAAATTTCTTAAAGCCATTAGGAAGATAGTGACGAGTGTTCTTGTCTGAACCGTAACCAAATGTTGGGCGTCAAAGTGCATCCCTGAACTTTCTTCTTACACGGGAATCAATACCCTTTGGTCTACACCAGTTTGTCTTGATGGAGATTTTGTGGTCACTCTTGGGTCTCTTGAACTTCTTGACCTGCTTCTTCGCGATCTTCTTACTTAGAAGCAGCATCGCCATTTCTTCTTATACTTCTGGAACGTTGGTTCACATGTAACTGGAGTTGATTTTGATGCGACACATATTATTATTGTGTCAGAATATAGCAATATTTAGTAATGGTTATATCATGATACTGTTTGGCTTAAAGGATGTTTCATGTGATAATGACTGGACTTTTGCTTATAAGTTGAGTTTATATGTGATGCCAAATTACTTTTGCTTCAGGTTGAGAACATTGTCCCTGTATCACTGCCATCATCTTTGGAAGGACCTGTTATTCTTGTGGTCAGTAAAGCTGATGGAGATGAGGAGGTTTGAGATAGTTCTGATCCTTTTATATTATTTGTCATTTTCTTGTATACAAGTAAAGTGGTCATGTAATCTCATTTGACACATTTGGCAGGTGACAGCAGCTGGGTCTAATATCACAGGAGTTGTACTTCTGCAGGAGCTGCCTCACCTATCTCATCTTGGTGTTAGGGCCCGACAAGTAAGTTCTTTTTCTCTCATCTCATTAAATATATTACAATATTTTTGATAGAAACATTGATAAAGTATGTGATAGAGACTGATAGAGTGCATGCTTTTGTGCAGGAAAAAGTTGTCTTTGTTACATGTGAAGATGAAGATATAGTTTCTAATATACGAAATCTTGCAGGAAAATATGTCAGGTTATTTCTGAACTTCTCCTCAATATAATCAACTTTTGGTTTCATAAATCAGCTATTAAAAGTTAGCTCTATTACCATTGAGTCTGATACTTGAATGGTTTGTTTGTTTGCTTCTTGTGTTTGTAAAATCTTGAAGACTGGAAGCATTGTCAAGTGGCGTGCATTTAAGACCATCTTCTTTATATGATCACGATGCTGATTCTGTTGCGAAAACTCTTTCAAGAAATGGTTCACCTGCTGTTGAAGTGCATGGATCTCTTGATTCATCCGGGTTGGCTGTTAAAGCCCCTAACTCTAATCAGGCAAGTTTTGCTATCTGCTATCTTAAATTGCAAGAAGTTAGCAATCTCATGGTTATCTTTTATGTTGTCTATCAAAATGATATTGGTTTTTCCTTTTCATACAGGGTAGTTCTTCTGCCAGAGTCATACTGCTAGCTGATGCAGATACACTAACCTCAGGAGCAAAGGCAGCTGCTTGTGGCTGCTTAGCTTCCTTGGCAGCAGTTTCTGATAAGGGTAATGTTTTTGTTCTTGACTGCCCTTCACCATCTTCCCCCTGTCCCCCTCCCCCCACACCTAAAGGGAGTAGTATTCAGTCATAAGAAATATTGTCTGTGAATCATGTTCAACAAGATTTTTTTCTTATGTAAATAATATAAGTTATTGAAGTATTATAGAAGATAATATATTTGTTTAATAGTTCCTCTTCTAATTGTTTTAACAAATTCATTTTGTATAAGTTGCATGAACTTTGATTGAAGATCTTTTTCTTATGTAAATAATATACATTATTGAAGTATTATACTAGATAATATATTTGTTTAATAGTTCCCCTTCTAATTGTTTAACAAATTCATTTTGTACAAGTTGCATGAACTTTGATTGATCTTCTATCTTATAAATTGTCATTCCTTTATTGTCATGTTGCCTAATTTCTTTTTATTTTTTTGGTTTCTTTATGGTAGTCTACAGTGACGAAGGGGTGCCAGCTTCATTTCGTGTTCCTGCTGGAGTTGTTATACCATTTGGCTCCATGGAATTGGCTTTGGAACAAAACAAATCGTCAGAAACATTCATGTCACTTCTGGAAAAGATAGAAACAGCAGAACTGGAGAATGATGAGCTTGACAAACTATGCCGCCAACTCCAGCAACTGGTCTCTTCCCTACAACTCTCGAAAGATGTAATTGATAGCATAATAAGAGTATTTCCCGGCAATGTACGCTTAATTGTTCGTTCAAGTGCAAATGTTGAGGATTTGGCAGGGATGTCAGCTGCTGGACTTTATGAATCAATTCCAAATGTCAGTCCTTCAAATCCAACTGTTTTTTCCAGTGCTATTAGCCAAGTATGGGCTTCACTCTATACTCGAAGAGCAGTACTAAGTCGGCGAGCTGCTGGAGTGACCCAGAAAGATGCTGCAATGGCAGTCCTGGTGCAAGAAATGCTTTCACCTGATCTTTCATTTGTACTCCACACACTCAGCCCAACTGACCATGACCATAACTATGTTGAGGCGGAGATTGCTCCAGGGCTGGGGGAAACCCTTGCTTCCGGAACTAGAGGCACACCCTGGCGTGTATCTTCTGGGAAGTTTGATGGGCTTGTGCGAACACTAGCATTTGCAAATTTCAGTGAGGAGATGGTGGTGTCAGGTGCAGGTCCTGCTGATGGGGAAGTTATCCGTTTGACAGTGGACTACAGTAAAAAACCATTAACAGTTGACACGATATTTCGTCACCAGCTTAGTCGGCGTCTCTGTGCTGTTGGGTTTTTCCTGGAGCGGAAGTTTGGCTGCCCGCAGGATGTGGAAGGATGTGTTCTCGGAAAAGATATTTATGTTGTCCAGACACGCCCTCAACCCCAGTAATGGCTTCTACCCTGTCTCGTCTCTATGGAAAGTAAAAACTCTTGATCTTTGGAAATGCAAGAATTATTTGCAATCTCAAGCTTTCCATGCTTTATGTACTCAGCATAGATGCGGCTTTAGCATTCTATGTCTGGCATAACCAATGTAGATTGTAAAATCACAAGTTATAGATTACACCACTTATACATGGAGGCTGAAGGACAAGGGAAGGGTTGTGGTACTACAATTATGTGCAAGTAATCGATGTTTTATTATCTGAAGACAGTGGAAGGGATGTCTCTGCGTATTCAGTTGATTGCTCTGCCAGTCGGTCGACACGCGTGTAAATCAGTGGAGCATCCAATGCTGCAAATCTCAATGTTGTTTCTTATAATTATCATATCAACTATTGGAAAATGTTGGCAACTGAGGATTGATACGTCTTCACCTTTGAGAATAAAGAGGGAACCATCATCCCTTCTCTTGCAGATGGGGTGGATGCTCCTACGTTTGTTTACAATCTAGGTTGGAATAACGGGCTTGGATTCGAGTCCTATTTAAATCCAGTTGTTGGAATAATGAAAAATGATGCAAGGTTTGGAATTGAATAGGCCCTGGCTTTGTAGGGGAGGTATGAGCCGCTTGGCCGAAGCCCCTGACTCCATTTAGTTTTTGGTTATGGTGATAATAACCATTGAACATGTTCACTGTTAATCATTCCTTACTCAACTCTATTTTACCAAAACGTGGAAAACTGAAACCAATTAGTTTTTCTATAAACCAAGCCTACAGAGTATCAAGTTAATCTTCTCTGTCTATTTGTTCATTACTCGTTCTTATTTATTAGGGAAAAAGGTGGCTATAACACGTTTCGTCATTCCTTCAATCATTTTTTCTTGTATCTGAAGTTTATGATGACATGAAACTTCATGTTAAGTTTCTTATTCTTAAAATAGATGATTTCTTCATTTTTGGTGAGAAAGAAAACAAACATAGAGGGTAGAGGGTAGAGGGTGGAGTCTCCAAGCAAGCATGAATGTCTCCAAACGTGGGCCAGGCGCAAGTGCTGGTTCAAGCCAAACAACTGTGCTAAAGCCAGTCTGGCCTCACCACAAGTTGTGTTGCTGAGAGAGGTTCGACTACAATTATTTATCTAAACTCTTCAAGTCTCAAGGACCATTGATGCGATAAAGTTGAAAGGGGCGAATGAGCAAAAATTAGGGAAGCTGACAGACCATACAGCTAACTTTGTCTCAACTGCCCCAGCTATAGAAAGTTCTCCTCCAAACTTTAATAACCATCCTTTTTGTTCCAACTGCCTTTCCTGTCAGGTCTTGTGTCATGTATCAATGCCATGTTTCCCATCTCAACCAAGGTGTGTAGATGGATAAAAAAAATATCAACTAGCATCCAACATTTTTAGTTGACATCATCTAATTTGGTACAAGTTCAAGCCCACAAACCAACTTTAAATGCGAAGCTTCCTTTTAACTCCTGCAATTCATAACTGCTTCCCTTAGAGGTAGGTTTCACAGGGGCAAAAGAAAAAGAAAATGTCAGCTGCTGTAGGAAATTTCTCAGCATCCAAAGAAATTGGTTTCAATAAAAATGAAACAAAAAATGAAGAGTTGAGAGATAACGAAAACAACAAGTTTGTCGATGAAGCAGAGGAAAATGATCGCCAGAAAGATAAGGATGATCACCTTGAGACTGAGCATGATGAACAAGATGATGCCAAGCTGATATCTGAAAAGGCATTGGATCTTGGTCCTCAGTTCTCACTCAAAGAGCAGCTTGAAAAGGACAAGGTATGCATCATCTCATTTCCTTTTCATTTCTCTTATCTGCTTCATTTTGCAATACTATCAAGGTATCAAAGCAAGCCCAGAATCCAGTAGTACTCAAACTCTGTTCATTGGAGCTTTTATCAAGTGCCACCTCAAACAAAACATTGAAGCTAAGCCCAAGCTTGAATTTTCTTGCTTGAGCTAGCTCGTCTATGTACTCATTTTATCTTAGTTTATTTTTACATGTTTGAAGTTCGAAACAATCACCCATCAAGCTTAAGTTCAAAGAAGTTTTCCAAAATAGCTTGTAAATAAGTTTTTTCATTTAATTTTCATAAACAAGCTAACTTGATTTTGCATTTAAATATGGCTTTGGGTATTTCTTGTTTGATTGTTTATTACTTTGTTTTCAAAGGATGATGAAAGTTTGAGGAGATGGAAGGAACAGCTTCTTGGGAGTGTTGATATGTCCGCAGTTGGAGGTAATTTGCTTTTCTTACATTAGTTCTAATACAACCCTCATATATTTTTCCATTGCATAGAATTGATATCTTTTCTAGGAATTTGAGAACATCCTGCATTAAGTTGGCTAGCTGCCTCCCTCTCTCTCTCTCTCTCTCTCTCCTTTCTGACAGTTCTTGTTTTCTTCAGTCACATTGTATAAGTTAGTGCAAAATATTCCATACTTCTTGAGATTTTTCAGCAACATTTATACTGTCTGGTACTAGGTTTAAGTAAACACACACAAAAAGAACAAATTTCTGACATTTATTTAGACAATGATTGTAAGATAAATCAGCAGTGCTCATTGCCAAATTGGTTTACGATCATTTGAGATAACTAGAAAGCAATCCTAAAGCCCTTATCAGTGTTTGTTGGGGTTCACATTTGCCTGCTGTCCTGCCCTACCTCCCATAAAGGGAGCAGCTTATGATCTAGTAGTTTGTATTAGGTTTTTGTTTCTTTGTGTCTATTTTTTTGTATATGAAAAGTTTGCATTATAATTCTAAAATGCAGAAGCTAATAAAAATTTATCTCCTTGAAAGCAGAGAGTAAGGAACCACAAGTTAAGATACTAAGCCTTTCAATCCTATGCCCGGGGCGGCCAGATATCATCTTGCCAATTCCATTGACTTCCAAGCCTAAGAGCAGTCTGTTTACATTAAGGGAAGGAAGCCGGTATCGCCTCAAATTCTCCTTCACTGTCTCCAACAACATTGTCTCTGGACTTAGGTACACAAACACTGTCTGGAAGACTGGTGTTAGAGGTATTAAAAACATGAAAAAGTACACTATGATTTCATTAACTAAGACACAGTATTCATTGTGGTCATTGATCATGAAACTTTTTTGCAGTGGACAACACAAAGCTGATGTTGGGAACATTTAGCCCTCAGAAAGAACCTTACACATATGAATTGGAAGAAGAAACTACCCCTTCGGGCTTGTTTGCTAGAGGGTCATACTCTGCAAGAACCAAGGTAAATCATTGAAGGGATAATACTGCATGTTAAAGCTCTGTTTGATCATTACTTTTGTCACAAGCTTTTACTTTTGCAAGTAAAAAGTAAAAATTGTATCTAAAATACAACAACAATAGTAAAAGCAATGATAAAATGGAATCTAGAGTAATTATTGAAGCTTTCCTTTGATCACGTTCTTGACTTTATTAATTTGTTTTATGCAGTTTGTAGATGACGATGGCAAAGCCTATTTGGATGTGAGCTACCACTTCGAAATCCAGAAGAATTGGCCATCATCAACACGTCCTTGATCAAATACTACCACATTTTGGGTTCTGCAATCCATTTTTCTTATTTGGGTCCATCAAAGAGTTTGTGCTTGATGTGTTATTTTTCTTACTTTTTTCCTGGCAGCTTGAATTTCCTGTCAACTTTTTCCGTGTTTTGTGTATGATTGTCTGTCTGTCTGTCTGTCTGTCTGTCTACAATATGTCATGGCCTCCACATCCCCTTTAATCGAGGTTCCAAATTGTACATAGAAGTGCCACTTATTGATGAAATGTCCTTCCAAAGGGACTTTGCCTCCAACAATTGGTGAAATCATTATCTATGAAAATGACAGGGAAATGGACGCCATGTGCCATGATTTAGCAAGCATGGGATCTGCACCTGCTTTTAATAACTTTAGTTTTGGTGTGCCTTCCATGGCAAGGTTTCCAGAGTCAATGCCAATCTTAAATATATAGTGGTCCAAACCCTTTTTTGCAAGTATATGGTTGTCACATGGCGTGAATCTTTCATGCCTAGTAGACTCACCACAAACAATGAGACACGAGAGGACACTAGGACCAATAATGAAGAGAAGTTTCCACTAACTGTCTTTCAATATCTTCATCATGAATATGAAGAAATCATATGGTAAAAGTCTACAAAAATCATGTACCTTATCTTCTATGTTCAAACATGGCAAAATTTACGTGCGAGTCATGTGGTCCACAGCAAGCAAATATATGAGACAAATCAATTGTAGTTGTTAAAAAGAAGTTGACATGTAATGACAGATACATGACATTTAATGGAGATTGAATAAGAAATCTTACATTCAAACCTTAATGTTCTTCCTTATGCAAGAAAGTATACATATAAAATGGAAATAAAATGAAAAAGCTGAATGCTGCTTTGTTTATTCACACCAATCTCGAAGCAACCATTGACAGTTTGGTTGGCAGTTGGAAAACTAAGACCTCAATAATCGGCCAGGTAGTGGTTGGAAGAGTGCAATGGATATAGTTTGAAAAACAAGAGACAACCCTTCTTTTTTTCTTTCTATTAAATTAGAACTTCTCCTGGATGCTGCATCTAAATTTCCAGGGTGCCATCATTTGCGTTTGCCCACTTTCCTCTCTCAATCTTTGGGGGATTATTGGCCCCAGAGAAAGCCACTGAACTTTTTCATAATTTTGGAAATAACATCATTTCCAATGAAGCTTAGTGGTTAAGTTAGTGTATCTGAATACAAAAAGTAAATAATATTTTTAAATGAAACAGGAATATCACATGACAGGCATGGCATGATCAACATGGGACGGTTGGGATAAGGAATTGAAAGTGGGATAGTTGTACCTCTATGTATATAGATGTCTCATCTTAATTTCTCACGCCAACTTTTCCTCTCTGTTTTATATCATGGCTTTCGTGGCGCATGGCTCCCATGCTTTCCAAATGTTGTTTCTTTTTCCTGCAATAGATTCTCAATCTAAGGCCTCCTTAGCTCAATCAATGCTGTCTGTCTGCAGCTGAGCTTTAATTTGCATCCACCTCTTCTAATCATTTCACTCATGCCTCCTTGCTTACCCCTATGTACTTGCACTCTTTATTTATCTGTCACCTTAATTGCTGCTTAATTTAAGCATGGAAAAGAAAAGGAACATGAGAAATAGGATATACCATAAAGAAACCTTTCATTGCTCCTAAGCAATGATGGGGATAACATGATTAAATTTATGGTTGGATTGTTTTATCAAAGAGGATCCTAAGAGACAGATAAGTTTATAAGTATTCCATATAAATGCCTACTGACGTAAATTTCTAGGTAACTATGCTCTTTACAAACTGACGGCATGGCTTCTATTAAAATTTTACACTCAGTTACAAAAATGGAACTCTGTGAATAAAATGAATAGTTTGTTCCGTTTCAAAATGAACAAAAGAAAAAAAAAGGGAAAAAGGATAACAAATAAATCAATGACAGCAGTCAAATTGGCCACTCGGGATGCAGCTCAGGTGGTTGGAAGGGCAAGACTTTGGGGAGATTGGAGCTATAGCACTCTCCACTTGTACAGAGGGGATATAGAAAAAGAGTGATTCAACTTTCCTTTCTCTTGTATGGTTATATATCAATCTCACTCTATATGTACAATAGAAGCTGAAATTCATGGATAGTCCAACAATGCAAACTTCACTTGCAAGCTAATCTTACCACCCTCATTGACTAGCTTAGCTGCTGTTACCAACCAATGTCCTGGAGCATCATGCGGACCACGCACGACCTCAGATATATCTAAATATTTTAGCAGTTTTTTGGAGCGAATTGGTGTGGGAGGACCATCAGGATATACACCTGAGTTAAGTGCTGTTGGAGCCTGCTTTTGTTGCTCAGTGACTGCCCGTTGAGTGAATGTGAAAGTTGTGCTTAGATTTGTAAGGAAACCTGTCTTGCGAGAAGTTTCAGGTGCAGCTGCCCATTCTGTCTTCCGGATTGTGCAGTTGGTTATATGGGTGTAAAGCAAACGGAGATGCAAAACTGTCTTTGGCCACTTCCCTTTGTTAAGGAGCTGTGCACCAGTTACAATAAAAACACCACTCGAAACTTCTTTCAACCAGTTAGGATCATGCTTAACAACTGATGTGCACACATTTGAGTATCTCTTCCATCTGACTGGCTCTAAAAATTGATCACTGGAATTATAGTCCTCCGAACCTCGCCATTGACAAGGTCTGCCAGATGTGAATGTCATTATATTTGGAAGACTTGAGAGATGCTGCACATGTATCGCCAACCGGTTGCATTTCTTTCCTTCCAAGTACAAGCGGAGGCCAACTATTGGTTTTAGATCACTTGAAACCTGAAATTGTATTAGATTATTTAAATTTATTTGTAGTAACAACAGAGGATAGGATGAAACATGGCTGCATATCTATCTCAACAAAATATAGGATGAACACTGTTAAATGAGAAAAGATGGAAACTCTAAGGGGTCAAGAAATTTAAACCTATATTTAAACACATAACACATGCCTGTTCCTATACACACATGCCTACATTTACATATATGTAGTAACATACGTATGCATGTGACAGACAGGTAAAACTACTCACAGATATGTAAGACAAACTCTTGCAAAGCCATGTCACCAAAAGTACATACTTAAAGATTTTTTTGCTCATAATTTATCCTCAAAAATAGTTAAGTTGTGTTTGTTGTTTGTTGTTACCAATAAAAAACATACAACTCAACTTCCACGTTCCAGAAGTGGTGATTCAATTCAACTTTCTACCACACAATTTGGCCGCGGAAAAAGTGACACTTCAAATAGTAAAGTTGTATCTGTTGTTACCAATAGAAAATTCAATGCAACTACCAGTTTCCAAAAGTAGTACCTCAATTCCACTTTCAACTACACTTCAACCACAAAAGTTGGCCTTTTAATTATAATAAGCGAATACATAAAACCTCCCAGAACCCCACCAGTGTTGTTATTACTGTACAAGAACTAGTCATACTTGCCAATTGCCATACTAATTCTGATTTCAAGCAAAACTGGCACGCTGATATCAATCTTACTTTTAGGATTCTCTGTGCTAGCATGTTGCTCATTGAATTTTAGTTATGTTGGGCGCAGATGCTATGATAAGATTTGAATTATCAATTGCATTGCTTACAAACAAGAACATAAAAGGTAAGCATTAGCACAGTTTTTCCTTGACTTCAGGAAATATGCATTTTGGATCTCATGAGTCTTCTGTTTCACATGAAAATATAAAATTTTAATGCAGGTCACAAGACAATATGATGATGCAAAATACATAAAATCGATACCAACTACTATGAAACAATGCCTTGTGAGCTGTTTGGCTACCTGCGCAGAGCTGATGTGTATTTTAGGACCCATGAAAGAAAATTGCAGGGAAGGGCAGGAAGCTTTTTTCCTCTGATGCCTAAGTGGCAGCTCACAGAACATAGGTGCCCACTGTCGTGGAACTTGAAACTCCAAGAAATACCTTAAATCCTCTGAAGCAGGCTTGTCTAGACACAGAATCAGCAAGTTAAAAGAAATTTTACTATCAGAAAAATTAGAATATAGAGAAGTATAATAAGAACATATGATTTGTAAAAAGATTGTTAAAAGAATGATAAGGCTAAAGGCCTCTAACAGCTCTGTACCTAGGCCAAATATTTCATGTTCCCTCTGCTTGATTTTTTTTTTTTAATAAAAAAGTTCATCCCTGTAGTTTTAATTTTGGTGCAATCAAGTAAAATGATAACACATTAATGTTTTTCTGCTAAATGTCTTGACAAGGCATTGATATGTCAAATTTAATGTCAGACAAGAGGATATGTGGCATTTTTTTTCCAGTGAGGACACAACAGAAGGTAAATCCCTACCTCTAATTGCCATGTGGCTTTTGAGTTTTCATAGCCAACTGAATTTTAAGAAAATAAAATAAAAAAGAAAACAGATTAAAATCAAGTTTTTTTTTTTTAACTAGATATTGGGGGGAAAAGGGATTTGAACCCTACTCTTTTTAAGAGGAGATCATGCATCAACCAATGACCCTAAAATCAAGTTGAAAAGTGAAAGTGCTTTCCATAGCATGGCAATCAAATAGAATTCCTTGGATCTTCAAGCACTGTCTCACCAGCAAAACATACCTCAAATCAAAATCACACAAATATATATGAGTGAAAAAGAAGGCAGTCAAACAAATGCTTTGATTGATTTTGAACAAGTAATTCTGTCTTTTCCAACAATTTTTAATTAGTAATTTAGAATTAAAATTCTAAATAAATTCAGTTTTTGTAAGTTTCATTTTTTTTTTCTTTCCTACCAAAATCCTTTAAAGATCCTTGTCTTGCCCCCAAATTGTTTTCATAGCCACAATATTTAGATATATTTTTTAGTAGAGAAGATTTCAGTCCTCTTCAAAATAATATTGAAGCATTTAGTCAGGCACTGCAATACTTACAACGAAGATACAAGTTGATCGCATGGCTAAGGTACCCACTTCCAGGAATCCCAGTCAGAAGAGAAGTAATTGGTACAAACTTGAACAAAATTCCTTCTGGTTTAGCAGGTACTGTTTGCAGCCAGTTGGAGTGACTATGCAAAAACACATTTCCTCCTCGTTTTGAACAAATGACAGAGAGTCCCTATTGAAGTTGAAAAAAAAGGGAAACAAATAATTCATGGGCTGTAATGATTATTCTACGGAAAAAAGAACTAATCAACGGAAAAAAGAATTATATAGAGTAATACTCAGGTTCTAGACTCACATCTTTGCTTGATGTTTCTGCAATGCTGGCCAACTGCATGGTGTTTGACTGCAGAATGCGATTAAAGACCTCGGGCACCTGCATAAATAAATGGCATTTAGAAACAATATGATTTAAAAGACAAAAACAAAAAAAAAAGGAGCCCTTAAATTTCAATGAGGTGCTAATACTTTTAGTTTGCCATCTCTTGTTTTTCTCTGTAGTAATGAAGGGCTTTTCCCATCTGAAAACATAACATCTCCAAGATCCTCCAAATACCCTCTGAGCTCAGCAGGAGGAATTGTAGAGGAATTGTTCTGTCTGACACAAATTAAATCTTGACCTCCAATAGCCATGCCTACTATTATGTGTGTCCCATATGTCTGGATGAACCTGCCTAATCCAATTTATTAGATATGTACTACATGAAACCAATAATAATAAAATTAATAGATGCCAAGTAACCAAAATGATTCTTTCTGGTTCTTACCCCCATAGGAGGAATTGGGGGCAAGTCCCCAATTGTGCACATTTAGATACTTCACTAATACAACACTATGACAGAAAACGTTAGCGGAAATTACACACACGCACACACACACACACACACCTACGTAAATACATACATATTTAAGGACCCCCACACCCTCTTTTTTCAATTGGCAAGTGATGTCTTTAACCAAAATGTAGTAACAAACCTCTTCAGCATTCCTATTTTAATTTAATATTCAATATCTGTTTATATAAGAACACTACCCTAGCTCCAAAAAAAACATACATAAAGAACACTGAATACAATAAATGACATAGGACAGCTAGGGGCAGTTGCATAGTCTATTAGTGGATGGTTGCTTAGGTTTTTGAGGACCATAGTCATGGACACAAGTGATGGGAAAGTTTTTATTGAATGAAGAAATCAAGGATTTAGAAAGCTATTTTGGGGCAATTTGGTACTGTGAATAGCACTTGTGAACTGCTAATTAGGGTTATTGTTGCAAGTTGGTTACTTTGATCTGAGATGGGTAGAGTTTGGTAGATAAGTATTCAACTGAAAGATTTATGGTTGATGTTCGACCTACAACAAAACTGGAACTAAAAGAGGAAATGAGCAGGACATCTAGGCTTCACACCTTAAACTTCCCAAAGGCCTCACACTCTCCCAAAAAGCATAATGCTTCTGATTTTACTATAAACTTGTTTCTATTAAATAAAATAAGTTACATTTTACCTATCCTACTTTTAGAAGTGCTTGAGATCCAAAACATGAAACTATCACAATTGACTTAAAACTAATACTAAATTTCGAGTTAAAAAAACCTGATAACATCAATAAAATAAAACGTGGTTCATAGAATGGAATTGATAATAGGGTGGAAAGACACTATTAGAGTTCCCCAAAATATCATTTCCACCACAATCATATAACTGATTCTACTAAATACAGATTCATACATTACCTAAATTATGATTAACTGAAAACCTTCAGATCACAAACAGTTATTCAAAATCTTACTTGGAAACTTATCGATCATTTGTCCTGTGCACGCTAAACCAAGAAAATTTCACATGCCTAAACTGACCGATTACTAAGATTAACTGTATCAGAACATTTAAATGGAGATTTAAACAATTTAGAATGCAAGAAATTAGAAATCTGCATGTTGTGATACATAAAGACAGCACGCTACACTATAATTACTGACAACAACAACAGCAACTGTTATAACATTAAGATAGTCCCCAGTAACTTCTCCATGTTGAAATTTTCCAATTAGGTTAGTCAGACATTTGCAATGGAAGCACAATTACAGCACAATTGGTTATATATGGAAAATGATAGAATGCAAGGATCTTAATTTAATAACAAATCAAAAGGATTCTACTAAGTTGAGAGCAAAACGGTGAGAAAGTAACATTTTCTAAACCAAAATGCATTTCACAAGCAATTTGAAAATGAGTATTGCAGCTCCTTCATAATCTCATATTGAATTAGTTATGCTATATTTTTCCAGTGCACAGCCACACGATCAACCTAAGCAGTTCAGAACCACGTTCATTTCTGCATAACCAGTAATATATTCCCATTAACATGGGCAAGAGCCTATAACATACAGTTGACAGTTTTATTTCTTGATATTTCTTCATTCACACAAAATGCCTCCACATGATCCGTATGATCTCTCATTAATATAGAATCGTACTTAATGCCAAGGAATTGCATAAACAATACTGAAAAGCTACCTAGACAATGATGCTGGATCCCAGTGAGGAGGAACAGACTTCTTAACTCTGTCATGCAGTATAAGCGGAGATGCTGTAAGGTGTAAATGGTACAATGAGATAAAATAACCATCAAAAGCAAGATTTTTGGTGCCTGCAGCATCATGAAGCCAGTCCCCAGTCAAATCAAAGATAGTGTTAAGATAGCCTGAAGGAACTTTTCCTTGTATTGAAGATTTCTGATTAAGTAACTCAGACATCTGCACGAGAAGTAAGATTTGGAAACAAAGATAAGGTTTAACATCAACACAGCGCACCAAATAAATAAATTCAAAGTTATATAAGGCACATAATCAGTACAGCAGCGCACAAGGCGCAAATCCTAGATTATTTTCACTTTAAATCATGCTTTTGTTTTTCTTTATTTTCTCTTTCAGCAATAAGGTTCTGGTAGTAACCCATCCAAGATATTTTGAGATTAGGATATTTGTCCTACTTTAAAATTTCAAGAATTTACCAGTATATTAGACACTTGCTACCTCACTAATATCAGTTGTTATTATGGATCAGTAGAGTTCCTAGATGATGGAACAAATGATCAGGAACTCATAAAAGCAATTATTTTTTGTCTAAAATTGAGGTTCACTTTATGTCAAAGTCAAGGTTTTATTTCCTATCCATTGCAAACCAAATGATTTAAGAAGAAAACTTGACCAAAAAAGAAACGAATTACTAGGAGACTGAAAACTGTTTGATAAATAAATTTCAAAAGTTGAAGCTTTTCCACTATACCAGTTCTTAAAATGGTAAATAATCAAAGGGCAATAATGCTATCATTATCCTTTGCTACTCTTTTAATTTCCTTTTGCACTAAAAGTAATTCTATCAATGACTTTCTCGGTTATTCCTAACAGAGTCCATTACTCTTCAGCACCTCAAGGCCAATACTTTTCTTTAGAATTACATTCACAGCAAGATGCTTTCATATAACCCCTAATAACTAGTAATGTGGTCTATGGCATCAGATCCTTTTCCATTCTCATTTCATTTCAGCGAAGTAGGTAGTATCAGATTCAATACACAAATCTTAATAGCCGTCAACAGGAAAATATTCCCATTTTATTTAAATAGGACTCCCTTGAGCCCAAAGCTAAACTACATTAAAATCCAAACTTGGATAGGCTTACTTAAATTATGAATCATTAGACATCATATAAATAATAAGAATGAAAGTGGAAACAAATTTTTCTTATCCTCATTGACACCAGTAAGATAGAATTAACTAGTTACAAACTCTTGAACTGTGCTCCAGAATTTCAAAAAGATGAGTTATCCAAAATCATGCTTATAATTACTAAGCTTGTTGCTTATTTTTATAGCAGAGTGTAGAGAAAACAAGAAAGTGAAGAACCATTTAAAAGACATAAAAGCCACTCACAGAAATCCATCCTTCAGTATCTCTTGAATTCAACTAGCCCATCCCATCTTGTTCACATTTAGGAGTGTGAAAGATATGTTAAAGGTAAATCTAATAATCCACGCAAATACAACCGAGATTTGCTTTCCAACTTAAAAAATATCATTTAGTACAAATCCAATTATGCATGTAACCTATCTTTCTTTTCCAACTCCAAATATTTGAAGTTCCATAAAAGTTGCCTTTAGTCAAAAGAGTTGAATAAACAAATCTTTCCACCTGTGACATAAGGTAACTTTTCATCCCCACCATTTCAAGGCTCATTCATAAAAAAATGTGGATAACTAATGCCCATAACACAAGTTAAGGAGCTATTTTTAAAAATATATTTTTCATGAAATTGAAAACGAGACAACACTTTTGAGTAAAAAGAAAAGTATTTCCATAATAACATCTTGTCTCACCACTAATTAAGGGTTCAGGCACTCTTTAGCATTTTACTAGTCAAAATTTTATACTTTTATACCCGCAAATTTTGGTAACCTCTGTAGTTGTATAAGTTGGCTATTATAGACTAGTACTAAGCTAAATGCTTTTGACCCACCAAAATGAATCATGAAAAAAGAAGAAAAAAACTAAATCATGGGTTAATCAGGGAACTGATGCAAATCAAGTTTGAGAAAATTTTCTGAATTGGGTCTCCAAAATAACATCTTAATTATACTTCCAAGACATAGAAATCCCAAATATTTCATCAAATAGAGAAAAGAGAAGGGGAAAAAAGAAAAAAGAACCTGATTGAATTCAAGAACGTCAGATTTGAATCGAATACGATCGCCTTTATCAAGACGGATATCTTGGGAAACACCTTGGACAGTAAAAGCACCTGGAAATACAATGTCTCTTTTATTGGTTTCATCAAGCACCACCAATCTGGTTCCCTTGGCATATTTCAACCTGAAATCTCCACTTATATCAATACCTTTTCCCAAAGCTTCCATAGCTCTAACCTCTATCGGCTTCTCAGTTTCCTCCATAACCATAGTTTTCTTCTCAACTCTCAAAGCCTGAAAGCAGCAGCAGGAGGCTTATAATTGGAGCTTTGGGTTGATATTTTTTGGAAGAGAAGAATACTAGTAGCACAAAATTTGACCGTCAGCTTCATTATTATTCTTATTATTATTATTATTATAGGCCATTTTAGACTATGGTGTTAAGAAAAGAAAATTATTTGGGTCGACGAGGAAGAGACGTTCGGGAGTTGAAAAGCATGTTTTACAATTTTTTATGGGTGTTGAAAAGAATTTGAAAGCCAGTGGAAAAGGAATAATATGGATTATCATCAATACGTGGCTGAAAGGGAGGCAATTTCCGCGAAGAGGGAAAGCTATTGGTTTGCAGCATTTTGGTTTTTGCTTATTGCAATTTCGACATGTAGAAAATGACTTCAACAACTACAGGGACGCTTTTATGAAGTTTCGGATTTGGGAATTTCGAGCGTTCGAAAAAGTGGGGACCACGTGGTGTTGACCCCACCCAACCAAACGCTTGCCAAAGTCAACCTTGAAAACGTACTGCTTACCTACTGCTACTATCCCTTGCGTTTTTTTTTTCATGGTTCTACTAACTACTGCCATAAAGTAATCTATGTACCATCTCCTCTTTCTACTGATATTTTTTCTCCCAATCTCAGCTCCGTTAATTGGTCAGTTGGCAAATCACACAAGCATTGTATTGTATTCTATTCTAATATTTAACACAACCCAAATTATTTATTTGCTGCATTATTACTTGATTGTTGAAGCAACAAACGTTTTCATAGCCTGGTGAATTATTATAATTATTAATATAGTTGCCGAGGCCCAAATGAAGTCCTGTCCTGTTCAGGCCTGCACCAGGTAATAAATTTTTTTCTTCAAAATTGATCAATTTAGTTTTAATATTTTAAGATTTTATATAATTAAATGTCTCTATTTAATTTCGTACAAATTAATGACCTCGCATCCATCCATCCATCACTAGTCCCGCCTGATCGTGCGTATTAAGACAGCATCGGGCCATCAAGTTTACACTCACGTCAACATTCAATTCCCACATCTTGCTTCCCTCTGACCCCCGAAATGTTAGCTTCCCTCTGACCCCCGAAATGCTTGTTTTATATAGCACTCTGAAACATCTGAGAAAGATAATTTTGGACCTCCAAACCATTGACAAGTCAAGCTACCTCCATCAGAAACTCAGGGATTAATGCTACCGACTTTTGACTCTGTTTCAAATTCACTACAAAATACTGTGCTAGTGTCTGATGTGAACTCACTACTTTTCATGTAGGTGATCCGGAAAATCCTTCAAGTTTTCCTCAAGCCAGGCAAAGCTAACACGGCAGAAACCACACAGAGAGACCCTCCAAACACAACAGTCTCCACTTCCCTACGTTACTATTTTTTAACTGCCCTTGCTCCAACCCTGTCAAAATGCATATTGTCATTTTCATCAGAAAATTACATAAACTAGGACCTAGTTCGATGTCAATTTTTCTTCTCCAAACATGATTATCTGCCTTCAACAGACAATATGGACCCTGATTCTGCTTATATACAGTTCCCATATAGCTATATTCAAAACAGGCCTCAAAATCCATCATCCATGCAAAAATCATATTCTCCTTTGCTAAATTTTTTGCAGTTATGGTTCGTTTGAGGATGAACTCAGCATTGCTTAATCGGTTTTAAGGATCAAATGAGAGAAGTTAGGAACTTTGTTGGTGGAGAATCAATGAGGTGGTTGGACAAGATGGCAATGGGATTGAAGGAGTACCAGTAGAACAACATATTTCTTCCCCAGAAAGAAATATAAGAATTAATTTAAACCAACACTTTCATTTATGCTCCCACTACAACATGCACCACATGCTGTTCAAATGATCACTTTTTCTCCCACTTTTCTGCATGCATGGCTGACTTCAACTTAATACAACTACAAGGTAATTGGATGGAGTGATTCATTTGAAAAATAAACTAGATAAACCAGCAGTCTGTTCGTAAATAAAAACTAGACATTAATTTATCAAGAATAATGCAATACCAGTTTCTTTTCTCCTCTTACTAGCCTCTGATTCTCACGTCTCAATGTCAACAGCAGACACGCAAGTAACCACCTATGTTTAGGAAACAAGACCTTAAGCATTGTCTACCATGAGTGCATGAGCACAATTCATATGTATGTATGCAAGCTGGGCTGAGAAGGAGATTCAAAGGAAGATCACTCAATTCAAACGGTTTACCCTCCCTTTAGTATGACTCTTTTGAAGCGCTTTATGTATAAATGCATGCATATGCTCACACACAATGAGAGAGGCGCATCATTGGCCAACTCAGTAATAGAATTTTAAGATTTACCATACAAATTGAAGTGGGCAACACTGGCAGATAAGTTTCATTACAATCAAATAGATGAATTTAAGAAACATAGAAATAAATAGAACTCCAATGGATTGTTACCTGCTTTACAAGCTTTATATATATCAGAAGATGCACCCAGGTACTGCAAGAGAACAGATTAATGTGATATCAAGTGTGCCAACAATCAAGGACAAAGCACCCAACATTTCATGCTCAGACAATTTTTGTTGAGAGTTCATATTTTTCAGGTTCAAGCTTATAAGATAGCTTTTTGCTCTGAATTTAACTTTCTGAAAATGCTAGTTTAGTGAACTAGCGTAGTTGCATTGGTTTGCAAATGAGCATGAGGAAAACCCAAAGGACATATCTTCATGAAAACAAACATTACAAGCATTAACGTATATCTGCAAAATGAATAAATACATTGCAATACATAGCTAATGTCTGTAAACGACAATGACATACAGCAGTAACAGGGAAAGCAACAATAACAACACTCACGAAAACTATTCTATTTGTTGTGTGTCATCCGGCCAAAATAAGGTTAACACATTATTCAAATCAGAAAGCATAAAGCTAACAGAAAAGATCATATAGCTCCCAACCAACCTTCCAATCCACATATAAAGGGACAAGCAAATGAGGTGACTAAATCCTAGAAACCATAAAAGGATCCATTTAATTTCAAGGTATCTGCCTTTTAACTTTCATATCCCATGAAAGGATATTGCTAATTAGCAGTATTTTATCTGAAACAAAACCCCGATCACTTATTCAACTATATCACATTTGATGAAAAACACTAAATCCCATTTGAAATCTCCACTATCACCTCCTGTCCTAGTAACACATACAAATGTCATTTAAAACAACACTCACCCAGTTCATCTTCAACTGATCCACCCATACAATGATTCAGCCAATATTGGGTTTGAAAGTTCATTCTCAAAACACACATTTCAGCTACAATAATCAAGAAGAATTAGGCAATGTACCTCGAAATTATAGCAATTCCTAGGACAGAAAGCTTTCTGTTCCCAGGTCACTATAGGTTTCTAATTTTCTTTTCAAGGATAATCTTGATGCAAATAAATACTCTCAACTATCAACACTAGTACACCTTTGTCAGGAAACCTTCGAACTTTTAAACTACTGATGTTGCGTGAAAGTTCTTGAATGATACTCCATTATGAAGTAAAGGCCTTTATATTCCGTGCTAATATAATCTTCAATGATAAAAATAAGAATTTTCACTCACATAAATATCCAATCTCTACGGTGTTACCTAAATAAATTCCATCCACGCTGTTGGCGAATAGCTCAACTTCTAGAAAAGGTGATAATTTTGTCAAGCTTTACTTAATATGTCACAAGCATAATCAATGAGGAGATAGTCACTCAGATTGACATGCAAAACACTTATAATCTCTTTCATACATATCTAACTATAATAAATATATAGAAGATATTCTTCTTCACTTCTGCAGTTGCATCATGCTTCGATCATGTGGCTTTTTCCTCCAAATATCCCAAGTTGAATTTCCATGCAAGCCAAATTTCAAAATTTTATGTTTGTAAACATAATACAGCAAAACAAGCTACATAACATTATAGCAGTTATAAATGTGAACATCTGAAAGAATATATAACCCAGCAATCAGTGACCTCAAATTAAATATTTCAAAAGTTCACCATCTTCCTATTACCCAGTAATACTCCTCTAGTGACAAATTAGCATGGTAACAGCAATACAGCAGCAATTAAAGTAAAGACAGCTATTACCACTTTCAAATTCTACAATTGAAGTGCAAAAAGCAATCACTTGTGAGCGGCAATGATTGATACTTCGGCAACTAAAATACCACAGTACAGCAAATCATATTGGGGCTTTAATTTCTTACGTGCCAATAAAAACTCAAGTTTCTCAATGAGCGAAAACAGTGTCATTGCGTCTAGGAGGTCTGTCAGGAATCGATCCTGGTTTGAACTTAGAAGCTTCATGCTTTGCCAGCTCGGGAGGGACAGGGCTGCCACTTTGAACAAGCATCTGCTTGAGATCATAGAAGACATCAGTGTCCTGAAGAGTCAAAAATGTTGTGGCCACACCAGTCTTCCCTGCACGTCCTGTTCTTCCAATACGATGTGTGTACATTTCAATATTACTAGGCATATCATAGTTAATGACATGAGCCACATCAGGAATATCAATTCCACGGCCAGCAACATCTGTAGCAACAAGGACATTGAATCTTTTGGCCCTAAAACCCTCAAGGCTAATTTCCCTCTGCTCCTGCGACCTTCCACCGTGCAAGGTTGTTACTTTATAACCAGCCTTATCCAGATTCTTGGAAATAGTATCAGCATTCTTCTTAGTATTAACAAACACAATTGCCGTCTTATCCCCAAGATCATCGAGCAACTTCTGCAATCTCGAGAACTTTTCTGATTCCTTCATCATCATCACATGTTGGGAAATTAAATCGGTAGCCTTTCCAGCAGTACCAATGTTGACCACAACAGGATTCCTCAAATACTTTCTAGCTAGCCGCTCCACAGCTGGAGGCATCGTAGCACTAAACATATAAGTAGTCCGATAAATCTTTTTTTCATCAAGCTCCTCATCTTCATTCTCAGGTTTCAAATTACTAGATGGCATAGCATCCAAAACACCCACAACTTGGGGCTCAAAACCCATATCTATCATCCTATCAGCCTCATCAAGAACCACATAATTACACTGGTTCAATACAGCATATCGCCTCTCTAAACAATCCAGCAGACGACCAGGCGTAGCAATAACAACCTCACACCCTTGTCTAATCCTAAACCCTTGTTCTTCTATTGACTGACCACCAACAATTGAAACAACTTTAATACCCAAATAATGTGCAAACTTCATAGTTTCATCCTCAATTTGCTGCGCAAGTTCGCGAGTCGGGGCCATGACAACAGCATAAGGCCCCTCAGCTTCATTCTCTTCACTCATAGGTGGTAATCTGGATATATAAGACAACATAGGCAAGACAAAAGCAGCAGTCTTACCAGACCCTGTCTCAGCGATCCCAATCACATCCCTTTGCTGCAATCCCAAAGGAATCGCTGCCATTTGTATCGGGGAAGGCTTCTTATACCCAACTCTCTCCACAGCTTTCAACAACTCGGCACTCAATTTACTCTCAACCCAACTCCTCATTGGTCGTGGAATCTTCGACCCTTTATAGGAAATATTAAAATCTTCCCTAAATATCCTCCAATCTCGTTCAGTCATTTCTTCAAGCTTCTTTTCAGACCAATGCTTATCAACTCTCATATCGAATGTATCGTAAGTATTTGCCGCTTCTTCCTTTAACCTCTGCGCCGCGGCTTCCTCTGGTTTCTCTTCAACCCCTTCTTTTTTCCTAATCTCTTCTCTCATCTCCTTCTCATTCTTCGCCGCGAGCTTCTTTTGTTCCCTCCGATCCATTCCAGCCCTAAACCCTCGTCCGAACAAAAGCTGAGCCTCGTGAGGGTTTTGGTACAACGAATTCATATCTCTCGAAGTATCTTCAGTGTTTTCCCAATCGAAAGAAAATCTAAATTTCTCGCTAGGTTTGATAACCCTTTTTTTAGGCTTTTTCGATCCGAGGTATTGCTCTTTAATCGAATCCAATTCTTTTTCCCTTTCTCTCTCCGCCAATTTTTCCAATCGCGCTCGTTCTCGTGCCTTGGCTTCCTCCTCCCGCTCGCGTTCCCTTTCGCGCTCCCGGTTTCTCCGCTCGGATTCGCGGTCTCTTTCCCGCTGCCTTTCGCGGTCGCGGCGATCAGAGGAATCGAAAGAAGGCCTAGTGGAAGGAGAATCGGAGTTACTGTTGGTGGTGTTATTAGAGCGGTGGAGCTCTTCGAGGCGGCGTTTCTGTTGGGCGCGTTGCTCTTCGAGGCGTTTGAGGGCTAGTTCTTCGCGTTGGGCTTTGGTTAAAAAGACGGGTTTTGGAGGATTGTGGGTGCTCATGGTTTGTGTGAAAGAAAGGAAGAAGCAAAAGGACAATGGGTTTTCGCTTGGCTAATTGCAGGAGGGGAAAGGTAGAGAGATGTTCAAAGTAATGGAGATTTCTAGGAACACTTCTGCAGCTATTTCTTCTTTCCGCTCCCAGGCTTCCATTTTGTTTCCGCTGTTATTTGCCATCCCGTGCTAAATTACCACATTTACCCTTGCAATACAGACATCCAGTAAATTTTTGTTTTTTGTTCGTGTTGATAACTAATGATCGATTTTGTTCCACATAATGGATATTAATATAATATATTGACGTGTTTATATTAATATAAATTTAAAATAATAAATATTATTTTAATTAATAATAATAATATATTTATTTATTTTAAAATATAATATAATATAAAAATTAACTTAAATAATAAGTGATTTTAATATGATTTGATGGCACTAAGGAGGAAGAAGATGCGGCGTTAGAAATGGAGGCACTGATTGTGGGAAGAAATTTGCTTGTATTTGTTTTTGCTTTCATTATTGCTTCCAACTTCTCTGTTTCATCATTTCACTCTTTTAGAGGGTGACATGAATTTTTAGTGATTACATAATTTTTAATAAATATAACATTTATTACATTTAATATAAGATAACTGAATAAACTAATACAATCTAACACAAAAGTAAATCAAGTCTTGTATGAACCAACCAAAGACTTCATGCCTCTCCTCATTAGTGATATAAGGCTCCAAACTATGCTTTTTTTCTTTTACAAAGTCACTTTTATGAATTTATGAATACAAAATACTATTGCAATCACTTTCAATTAATAATAATATATTATAAAAGATAATTGACAAATCAATAAGAAAACAAATAAACTAAGTCCAAATAAGATGAAATTTCAAAATTTCAAGACTTGTTTTCTATAGTCGAGACACAAATTAAGAATTTTAAACAATTGATTAGCTAAATTGCTGCCGATTTGAAAAGAAATGTTGCAGAAACATCTTCTCTCAACAGCTGTAGTTGATAAGAGAAGCCACGTGTAACGTGTCCCTTGCCACGCGTAACTCTGCACGCAAAAGCAACGTGGCCGAACTCATGATCAACGGACCTTAAAGCGAGCTGGCTCGGGCAGCCTTCACTCGTCCAACCCCCACAATCCAAAACGACTCAAACCGAAATTAGCCAAGCAAAGCAATAGAGCGATGTATCACCCACAAGTTCCAGGAAAGCCAACTCAGACTGCCACTTCCCTCCTTGAGACGGCCACTGGCACCATCCAAGCCTTTGTCCCCGTCAAACAAATCCATCAACATCTCTGCGCGTAATTAGCCGTTCTGTTTTGCTTGTTTTGTTTTACCAAATTTTCTAAATTTATTGTCAATTTCCTCTCATTAGCCATGTTGCTCGCATTGCTGTAGATTTCATTTCTATGGGTACGACATGACCCGTCAGGTCGAGGCTCACCATTTCTGCGCCCATCAAAACGAAGAAATGCGGCAGTGTCTCATAGACGACAGCCCTGAAGCAGATGCAAAGCTTATTGGATTGGAGTATATCATATCGGAGAATTTGTTTTTGACCTTGCCCGACAATGAGAAACCGCTTTGGCACTCGCATCTGTGCGAGGTGAAGAGCGGGGTGCTGTTCATGCCAACATTTCCTGGGCCAATCGAGAGGCAGGACCTTGATAAGGTTTGCAAGACTTACGGTAAAACGATCCATTTCTGGCAGGTTGACAGGTGCGACAATCTCCCTCTTGGGCTGCCTCAGCTGATGATGGCTCTCACTAGGGATGGCCAGCTCTGTGATGAACTTGCCCGAGGTAAAAAGCCTTTGAAAATAATATTGTAAGACTTTATTTGTTTCCCAAGAATTAACCATGCATTCAATGGTATATGCATGCAGATGTTGACAAGCGATTCGGGGTTGCCTTTGCGAATGAGAGGGCGAACCGAGCTGAGCTGACTGGTCCGACACATGGGATTCATCCGCTGGCTAATGGCGGTGGAGGAGGGCTCAAGGCACAACTAAGGGGGGTAGATTGCAAGCCTTTTGATTCCGTTCCCCGGGTCTTTGTCTGAATTTGCACCTTGTAACGCATGAATTACACAGCTTTCTCTAATCCTAGTTGTTCCCCGACCTCTCTGAACAACATGTGGACGGCAAAACTAATAATAAAATGAAAAAAGCCACGCCACAGCAGTAATCAATGCCATTGAGTTTGCTCTTAAAGCAGCTCTCTCTTAAGACCTGATCGTTAACCCTAGATAACTCATTACCAGGGGCGGGAGTTGAGATCAACTGTTATAGAAATTAACTTACCCAAAAATAACAATTTCGAGCGAATTGAAGTTTTATTGGAAACAACTGTACTGGAAATTTCTAGCTTACCAAACATATTACTACAATTTTAATTTATTTCATATTATAATATAACAAATAATGGAACTCAAATGGCAATAATATAATTTGAACTAATTGAGGGCATTTGGATTCCTTGCTCTGTATTTCTCATGGATGATGTTGGTCATTTGACTTTGGTAAGTGGGATGAATTTTCGGTTTTAAGCATAAATTATGAGTTTTTTTACGATAAATGAAACAAAATTAGCAATATCTAATATCTAAAAATGAGAGCGTTTAGCTTTATGTAGGCATATAGTTATCAATATCTTATAATATTATTTTAAAATATGCGATACATAAGAATATTTCAATTTTTTATATATTAGATATTATCATGAGGTTATATATACATCTTCATAATTTTTTATATATTATTATATATTAGATATTACCATGAGGTCATATAGATTTATCAAATTTGATGTATCAATTGATACATGTCTATATACGATATATTTCATACGAAATATTCGTACATTACATAAAAAAATCTGTTGCTTTATTTTTTGGGTATGAGCTGAAATATAATAAGTCACATTACTTTTTAGGTTGTAGACTTCGTAATGCCTTTTAAAACTTTATACTTTAGAAAAAAATTAATAAAGAGTAAAAGGGTAAAGATTAACCTTTGGGTCATATTAAAAAATAATTTTCAAAAATAAGATTTTTTTAAAGATAATAGTTTTTAGAATTTTAACTAGTTTTAGTTAAATTGAATAAAATTATTTTTAATGATGTCACATGTCATGCATATGGTATTATACACTATGTTGAAAAAAATATTATTGTTATACATTTTATATATATATATATATATATATATAAAAACATGTTATACATCATGCTCAAAAAGAAAATATTTTGCTACATATTATGGTTAAAAAAAGTTATTACATGTTTTATTGAAAACAAATAATTGTTACATGTCATGTACAAAAATATGTTACACATTATGTTAAAAAAAATATTGTTATTACTCGACATATTGAAAAAATATTGTTATTACACGTCATGTTTAAAAAATTTTGTTTTACTTTAAAGTTTAAAATGTTGTTGTTACTTACGAACAAAAACTTCAAATCCTCTCGACTCTCTTACTATTTTTTTTTACAATTTGACACTGATTAAAATATTTTTAATATGTTTTCATAAATTAAAACACAAATTTTTTTTATCTAAAATACCTATTTCGATTAAAAATTGAAAAAAAAATCTGTTTAAAACTCTAAGTTTATAAATTTCAAATTCATTCTTAAGTTTATTAGTATCTAGGTTCTGAATTGATCCAATTAAAAGTTATTTCAAATATCCATGATATTTTTACCATTTTAGTTTCATCTAGTATACTATAAAATCAAAATTTTCAAATAGCCACTCAACTCAAACACATCAAAACTATCACTTGACATATTGAAAGCACAACGGAAGGCAAAGAGAGAAAATGATAAAATTAGAGAGACTGATGGTGAGAGAGAGAAATCGAAAACACATATGGATAAAAATCGAAAGCACATATGGATAAAAATTGTAATTAATTATTTAATTTATTTAAAATAGTTTCAAAAACATTTTTATTAAATCATAATTAAATAAATTTTAATGATTAATTTGAAATACCCTTGTCAAAAGGATTATTCTTTACAATTTTCTCTTATCCTTTTGACCATTTTTTTTCCTAGTCGGGTCTCTTGGCTAACCAAAATTCAAACTTAACCCTTAAGTTTCAATGAAAATGATTTCCAAGTTGGGAAGAACAAACTGCTTATTGCTGGCTTTAGACGCTGATAATAAACTGTTAAACAATAACTATGCATGAAATGTTAAGAATCAATTCATTCATTCAAACAACAAAAAGAAATGATGGTAGTATATATCATCAAAGATAAGTAGAGAGAGAGGGTACAGGGTACAGCTCAAATATATATTTGCAGCCTTGCTATGCGAGGAGAATTGGTATTGAAGCTGCAATCGTTCGCTTCTCCTATCACCCTCAATATACTGAGCATCAATTACAAAAATGCCTTTCCCTTGCATCAGCTCTCTCTCTCTCTCTCTCTCTATATATATA